ACTTTGGCAACTCCTTCCGATAATTATAACACAAGACGCTACAGCTATAGCTAGACTTTAGTGGACATAAGAAGTACCTATGGGAACATTTTCCTCAGATTTTACCTTTTAATTTGTTGAAGTCTTTTTTAAAAGACCTCAAATTGAGTTAAACCACACTCATATAACATATGTCTAGGATAGCATTTAACACAGTGTTTTATCATTGTTGGTTCCTTGTCTGTCCCCTACTGCCCTTCAGGACATCTCTGTTCTTCCAGTGTCTGCCATATGGTAGATGTATAGTACATATTATAATCAAAGCTCCTCTTGCCTCTTTGGAATATTGAGGATGCTAGACTTAGAGAAATGCTGTAGTGGCAGCTCTTCACTCCTGTATTCTGAGAGTTTTCACGTGGTTTTAAGTATAGAGTACTTATTTTCACAAAATCAATTAGTTCTGAATTATTAAAGGGACAAAAAAGAGTAATAAATAAGGCACCCTAGCTATACATCATGTATTTTTCTCTCTCAAGTATGTGACTTGTGTAATTTCCTTATCTGTATTTATGTCTACCTAATACATACAGTAGCCTTCTAATGGTCTTTCCCTTTTCTAATGACTTATGCTAGCATCATGTCCTTTGAATACTTTCTTTCCCTACCCCTCTCATTTCTATGTTTAAGAATCCAGTTGCCTTGGGCGGAAGGGAGGGATTGGAAGGGCTTGGCTTTCTAGTTCTATATGACCTGATCCTGCCTTAGTCCTTGACCTTTAAATTTCACTCTTAACCTGTTTATATGAGTCATTCTCATGATAGTCACAAAAACATAGACCTTCTTCTTTGCTCTTTGTAATTTGCCCTACCTGGAATCTATTTATTCAGATTGCTAAACCCTAATCTAAGCCCAGCCATCTCAATAAATATCATCTCACCGTGAGGAAATTGAATAGTAAACAAAAATATCTCCCAAGAGGAAGGTTTTAGGGAAAATATGCTTGAATAATTAACTTGTAGAAAATTTAGTGGAAATAATAATAGATCCTTCCTTCCCCCAACTGATGGACCACCAATCAGCACCTGCCAAATAGCCTAAACCCCTGATTCCTAAGTCCCGAAATGCCTAATCATGTGCCTTATATGAAACCACCAGTGTGTGCCGAGTACCTAAGCCCCATCCGTTCCCTTCCCTCCCCTCAACAGACACCTTCTCCCCTGCACATGTGCTTTCTTCCTTTGGGAGACGGCCGGCAGGGTTCAGCCTGTGTCCTGGTCTCCGGCCCTCTGTCTCATCTTTCAAATAATAGTTTCATACTAAAGCATACTAAGTGGATGTTTTTATTATGTGTAGTGGAGCTTATTATATATATATTACACATTTTAAACTGTGATAATTTAAGCATGGTTGTTCACTGTTATCTATGAAATGAAACCTACCAGCATATAAGCAATGGCTGAATTACTCCATTACTATTTTTACTTCATGAGTAAAATAAATGTAAATTAGTTTAAATTATTAAAGTCAATATTACTATAATTTATTATTTTTATGTAATAAACATGACTTTGAAATAATATCTAGGCTAACTAAACCTCATTAGCTTAACTCTCCCTCATTTTTTTTTTTTTTTTTCAGTTAGATGTTTGCCAGAGAGATCTTGCAGTCTATCTTCAGGACAGAATCCACACTCTCCCTCTGAGAACCTGCCCCCAAGGACAGTTTGGCAGGAGGGGAGAGTGGGAAGAGAGGTCAGAGAGGTCATTGAAGGCCAGGATTACACAAGCACTTGTCAATCTGCTATCAGTTTTAGATTTTAGTCTGTATTCAGTATGTCTGTACCTTGGGGGAAGCAAACCTTTTCATTTGTGTTAAGATACATTTATTCTTCCAGGACATAAATATAATGGATCAGGGAATTTAAGATTAACCGTAATATACTCTCCCAAAGTACCTAATCTAATATAGTCACAGAATAATAGTATCTGTTCTAGTATAATTATAGTTTTCTTAGGACTGTTTCCACATCATTAAGGAAAAAATCATATTAGAAGCTGTTTAAATCCAAGTTATTTTAAAAACAAAATTTATAAGCTCTATTTTCTTTTCCATAATTTTTCTCCTCTTTGGAGGGACACTTGACTATTGTATTTTATATACATTTTATGCTGTCATTTTCAGTAAGGGCATTCATTGTGTTGGAAAAATTCAGTTTTGGAATTGTGATTTAATTGGAGACAGGCATTGATTATATAACGAAGAATGAATTTCCTTACTAGATTTGATGACTTTAGATAGTGCAGAGCCTACAAACAAACACTTCCTGGGGCTCCTCATTTGGTGTGTGTAATAAGCAAACATGATGCCATAGGGGAGGTAAGAGAATAAGTATCAACCTCAGCTTCAAGAGAATGGAAAGTGCTGCTTTAGAGTGTAGGTCCTTAAATGTAAAATCTACCTAAATTTTTATTGGAAGTCTCTGAATAAATATTTTGTTAATTTTTATAAGAGAACACAGGTGGTAATAGGAATTCAAGAAAGGCTAAACTTGGCAAGTTACATAGATGTTATAAAAGTTGAATAGTTGCTTGAAAATTTCCATTTAATGACTCCCTCTGATTGTTTCCTATCCATATTTTACTCTTCTTGAATCTATAGTATAGCCTAGATAAAAACAAAACTATTAATGAAAATATTTGAGATTTTAAAAATCCAAATAATTATTGGGTTTGAATAATAAACTCACAAAACAGAGCAGATTTTTATGTGGAATCTATAATTCTATTTAGTTTTGTGATCATTTAAAATACTCATTCATTTTGAACTATTTTGCGTGTGTTCTGTAAAATTATATTGCTATTGTTTCTTTTTTTTTTTTTCTTTCCAGTTTCTTGGGGGCAATTACAGTGTGAACTCAGAAGAAAAGTGCATTATCATTATCTCAGAGCAGGTTTTCTCTAGAATATTTTAGCTTCTAAATTATTCCAATGTGTTTAGTTTTGAAAATTAGGGAGGAAGAGGAAGTTGACTCTTATCTTCCCAGTTCTGCTGCTTGTTGGCCCTTATGAAGACAGGTATTACTAGCAACTAGCAACTATTACTTGAGTAAGTCACCTGATCAGATGAGGTTTTTCTTGGTAATAACATTTTATGTTTTTCATGGGTAGATAACTTAATGAAGAATTATATCAATTGAGATTGAGCTGTGGAAAATTTAGTAATGAGTAAAAAATCTTAGAAATAGTATTATAACAAGTGAATTATAAAAACCAAATCAAGAGCCACATTTATGAATTGGAAAATTAGTGAATGTTTTTTCTTTTGTCAAGGTAGAATGCCTAGATTTATACTAAGTGCTTAGAGCATGAAGTTAAGAAATCAAAATGATCAGTTTCTCTTAGAGATATTGATAAGCTGTTATCCTTTGTTAGTAAGCTTAAGAAAATTGTTTTCCTTTGTGATTAAATGAGATATGGTCTGATTTTTAACATTGTTAGAACTAAGTTCAGTTGGGTTTTGCAAAATTATTTGACCCTTTCTAAAAATCTTTATATAATAAAATAGACTTAAATTTTAACTTCATGACATCTCATCAGCTAATTAGATTCTTTGCTTATTTAAGTATCACAGAGGTAATTTTGTTGATTGCTGCTTTGGAGGTGTAAGATGTGTACAAATTCTTATTTGAGATTAAAGGTATCTTTTAAGTTCTGAGGAATTTCTAAATCAGTTGACAGGTTGTATTCCAAATGTTGCCTAGATTAACTAGAACAAAGCCTGTATTTCAGAAATGTGAGTCAGGAATATGGAATGTACAATGATGATATTCATTATGTCCCTGGGAAATTTAATAGGTATTTAAGTTGAAGGAAAAGGATTTCGGTCAGATAAACTTAGAATATGTTGTTTTAAGCAAAGTTAAGCTTTACTGAAGATTTCTCAAAGCTATTAATATTGAAATATTTTTTAAAATTAGATTAATCTTTTAAGTCTCTGGTCAGTCATTGATCTTATTTTGTTTTGTGTAATCTTTTCCTCCCTTCACAAAATAATATGCAAGTTCCATGTCAGATAACACATTATTTTATTATCTTCATAATGGGAAGAAGAAAATGTCTTTTTATTCAAGGGTCTTATAATTAAGTCCCACATATGGGAAATTTCATATATGATTAATTAAAGTTAAATGAATTTAATTTTGTTTGTTTTTTATTTCAATTTTAGTTCCTTAGATTTTGTAGGAACTAATGGGGAAATAAGATAAAAGATAGATGAGGTAGAAAACGAGAATAGGAGAGGAGTAATTAATTCAACAGACTAAATCAGATTTAAAATTTTATTTAGTCTTTTCTATGAAATGCTTATGGGACTAAGCTTTTGCAAGATACTGCATATTTATATCTAAACAGATTTTTACAAAATAGATAAGTTGCTACATTAAAGTCTTTTGGAATTTTTTACTATGGTGTTTTAGAATCTGTCAGTGAAGAGAACTGATCTACTGTCATATCCTCTAATTATGGGAGTCATCTGCAATTTTTTTAATTATTGCTACTTGTGATTCTGGTCATAATTTGATACTGCTTATTTTTTTTAATATTTTTTATTGATTTTTTTTCACAGAGAGGAAGGGAGAGGGATAGATAGTTAGAAACATCGATGAGAGAGAATCATCGACCACCTGCCTCCTGCACACCCCCCCACTGGGGATGTGCCCACAACCAATGTACATGCCCTTGACCGGAATTGAACCCGGGACCTTTCAGTCCGCAGACCGACGCTCTTATCTACTGAGCCAAACCGGTTTCGGCAATACTGCTTATTCTTTCACATTTTTCTAAAAATTTGAGACTGAATTGCTCATTTCTACTCACTTGTCAACCCTGCTCCAGTCATCACTTTTACTTTCCTTCCTAGTTCTGAAGGTTTGACTCCAGAGAGTTGTAGTATATATCAGAACATACACTGCATACTTTTTCAAGTTTTATCCTGTAACTATTCTATACAAATGTCTGTTTCAGATGGAGCAGTTATCAGATGAAGAAATTGACCATGGTGCTGAAGAAGACAGTGACAAAGAAGATCAAGATCTGGACAAAATGTTTGGAGCCTGGCTGGGGGAGCTAGACAAGCTTACTCAGGTTAGAAATAGTGCTTGGAAAACTGGTTGAGGATTTTAAGTCATCAGGGAGTGCTAAAAGTCTATAGTATAATCATAAGGATATGGTGGATATAGGTTATCTTTTTAAATATGAAAAGAAAATGTCCAAAACATTAACAAGTAAATGAATGCTATAGGACAAGATATTATCTTCTTTGATTATTAGAAGAAATTTTAAAATATACTTGTGACTGACTGACGTTCTGTTTATCTACAGGGATTACTTACGATCTCTTTCATGAATTGAGATTGCTGACTAGAAAGTTTTGAAGCCTAAAATCTTAAAGTCTAAATTTTAGCACATCCTATTTCATAACTTAGTGAATTTGAATACTTTACAGCATAAATAATAACTTCATGCTTGAAAATATTTTCTATTACATGATTGCAGAGTACTGACAAAATTTCATTCCCAGCTGCATTTTAAAACAGTAGGAAAGCCTTTTTATTTCGTTTTATTGGGGGGTTGTCCCTCAGCCCACTCTGCACCCTCTCCAATTTAGGACCCCTCGGAGGATGTTCAACTGCCTGTTTGGGCCCAATCCCTGTTGAACTAAATCCAGGACTGCTGGCTTCCAACCACTCTCCTGCTTGCCAGCCTGATCATCCCCTAACCAGTCTCCTGACAGCCTGGTTGACGCCTAATTGCTCCCCTGCTGGCCTGGTCATCCCCCAACTGCCCTCCCCTGAAGGCCTGGTCCCCCACAACTGTCCTCCTCTTTAGGCCTGGATGCCCCCAAATGTCTTCCCCTACAGGCCTTGTCACCTCTAACTGCCCTCCCCTGCTGACCTGATCACCACAACTACCCTCCCCTGCCAGTCATCTTTGACCACATTGGAGCGGCCATCTTGTGCGAGGACATGGGGGTCAATTTGCATATTACCTCTTTATTATATAGGATGAGTTTTTTGTTTTACTTATTCCTTTTATTTAAAGAATGGCCTTATCCTCAAAACCGGGTCACTTTTATAATAAAAAGGTATTCTGTTACTACCCCAGTTGATATATAAAGATATGTTTTATTAAGACAACTTTAACTTTATGTCATTGAGAACATTAGAACAAAAATTATTTTCATTCATTATTAATATCTCTGGGAAGAACTTTTATGTAAAATTGCTTAAATTTGAGATTCCTTAACTAGTAAAAAAGTAGGTAGTAAACTGGAAACTTGCAGTACTGGTTTGTTCCTCTCTTTCTGTAACAGTCTAAAATTGAAACCGATAAACTCTTCACGTAATTCCAAGAGTAATTCTAAGATCGATAGTTTTGAAAAGCAGACACGTTTGTGACCATAATCTGTTAATGTTCAATTTTGAGGAGAATGCTTTCACTTCTACTAGGATCACATAAGAATCATTCCCTTCATCTCCAGTCAGGGGAAATAAAATTACTTGTTGAGAGAAAGGTCTTATATCTGTAGTTGTGAAGCCATTTCAGTTTAATTCTTAATTTTTTTAAAAAGGTGATTTTGATGTAAAGATGATGACTAGACTATGCATTTCTATGCTGAGGAGAAAAAGGAATGAGGAAGCAAAATAAAGGAAATCGAAAATGATAATATGTGCCAGCTGACCTGTGGGGTTGCCTTGACTGTATGGTTTTATTACTCATACTTGGGAAGGGAGCCAAAAAAGATGAGTAGGTATCACTCCAGCTGCTCTAGGTGGAGCAGCACTCCATGTTACTCCATTGCAGTGGCTTCTATTAGTTTACTACCTTTTATTCTTCATATTTTAAATCCCCTGATGTCTAAATGTAAAGAGCCAGTTACCACAAAAGTTGTCTCCTAACTAGTGCCGTGACTGTTCTTTTTATTATACAAATCCATCATTAGAGAGAAAGATTTAAAGAAACTTGTGTAATGGTGGGTCACTGCTAGCAATTGCTTTTAAACACTTCAGAAATTTAAGAAATTTTTATTTAGTGACTAAACTTCAAGTTTTTTTATTTATTATTTTAGTTCACTACAATGTGTGTCATTTGTGTGCCTATATCACACGTACAATGTTAATGTGATTTTCAATTTTATAATAAGTCAGTGGTTTTCAATTTTATAATAAGTTTTAAGTGGTTGGTGATGCTTCTGAAATCATTTGTAAAATTTGTGTGTATTTGCATTTTTATGGAAGGTGCATATTTTCAAATTCTCAATGTCTCCCACTCCCAGAAAAAAGTTAAAAACTACCCTACTGATTACAGATTTCTTGGTATCAAGGAGTATTTCTTGCTCTTTCCCTTGTTGTCCCAGCACTGTGGACACAGCAGACAATTATAATGAATATCTGTTTATTGAAACTGGCAAATAGATGGACTTTTAATAGGTCCTCAATTATATTCAAGTTATTTTACAATAAACATTACCTACCTATTAGTCTTCATTTCCACCGAGTGAAGGAGGCTTAGGGATTAAATTGCAGCAGAAGACCTACGTTTGAGATTAAAGAAGAATTTTCTGGCTGTTCTATGAAATTTTGAAATAAGGCACTGAATGGTCATAAATGTCCTTCATATGATGGTTTTAAAACCAGGATGGACACTTTCTGAATGGATTTGTTTTATCCTGAGATAAATGAATAAAGAAACTAGCATACTACTTTAATTCCATGATTCTACTGCCCAGCATCCTCCTTTATTGGAAATCTATTTGATAATTATAGGTAGAGACTAAAGTTTTAAGACCAATCCCAATATTAGTAAATTCACTTAAATAAATGCTATATATCTACCTACCCTTACCCTGAATTTCTCTGTTGTAAACATCTTATTTTCCTTATTATAAGAAAGGTTAGAAAAAGTACCATTTAAAAGGTGGTGAGATAACTTACAAGATACCCAAACCTGAAATGTAGTATAATTCTAGACTTTGCACAAGCAGTGTAGCTGGGTTACAGTTTGCCCTCATAGAATTTGAAAAAATCAAGGATATTTCATTATTGTTTAAAGTTGTAGCTACTCTGTTAAGATCTTGAGTCACACTAATTTTGAGTCCAGAATTGTACCATATCTTCAGGGTCCCTCATGCCAGGAATGATGCTATGCTGGACCTAAAACAAATTACTTTGAAGAAAGAGATAACAGAATTATCTGCATCATTTCTTCCTATTTGTTTTACCATGCCCATATTCATATAACTAGTTTATTTTATAGTAAATTTGTATAAAATGAATTGAATCTCTGTATTTGATGTATTTGGAAAGATGTATGACATTTTCAGTGCCTTCAGTAAGATTATTATCTAATTTAAAAAAAAAAAAAAAACTGTAACCAAAATAATATGAAAACCAGTTACTTTTCTGTAAGGCTATTACCTAGAAAAACTTTGGTTTTATTACCTATTCTATAACAATTCACTTAATCATAAAACAAACTGTATCTTTTGTTGTTGTTGTTAATCCTCTCCTGAGGATATTTTTCCATTGATTTTTAGGGAGAGGGGAAGAGAGAGGGAGAAAGACAGAGAGAAACATAGATGTGACAGAAACACATTGATTGGTCGCCTCCTGCACAAACTCCAACCAGGGCCTGGGCCTGGGAGGAGCCTGCAACCAAGGTATGTTCCCTTGACTGGTATCAAACCCGGGACCCTTTGGTCTGCAGGCTGATGCTCTATCCACTAAGTCGAACAGGCCAGGGCAAACTGTATCTTTATATAATTGAAGTGTGGATATAATATGACTTCTCAAACTTTCTTTTTAAAGAGTTTGGATTCTGACAAGCCCATGGAACCAGTAAAAAGATCTCCCCTTCGCCAGGAAACAAACATGGCTAATTTTTCTTATCGCTTCTCCATATACAACTTGAATGGTAAGATGTAATTGGAAATAAAATGTAAAATAGTGTACTAAATTATATAATGTAAGAGCAGTGCAGCTATAATACCAAGTAGCTCAACATAGAAATGATATGCATAACCTGACTGAGTTCTTATATTTCTTTATTTGTTTATTACTATTTCAAATGATCACAGAAAAAAACAAACTGGAACATAACTAAAATAGTTTTGTAGTTGAATTATTAATAATTGACAAAGTATATACTTGGGTGGAACCTGAAATCCAGTGAAATTAGTTGTTAGTGATTTTAAAACCAGCCCTCTCACCTTTATTTACTAGTAATCCCCTCTACCTAGTCAACTTTATAGTATTTGAAATTGATATTTCAATCTGTAATTTTTTAGGCCTTACATTTCGCTTTATGGCTTCAACTTTTTAGGCAACATCTCTACCAGGGCACTGATTATATTGACAACTTAGAACCTCTGATAAAAAGGTGCATTACGGATGGGGTTAAAACTAGGGACTTTGTATGATTTTTGCATTATTTTTACTTTCAACTTATAATTGTGTTCTCCTCTGATGGCTAAAAAATCTTAAAAGATGGATTGTTTGCTTTTAAAATTTCTCTTAGAGTATAAAACAAAAAGTTGTTAAAAATACTCGATTTTAGAGGCTTTAGGACCAATAAGATGAGTTTTTGCTTCTTTCCCTGCATTCATGAACTGATTTATAGTAGAATGTATACATTCTGGTTCAGTTTCTTCTGGAAACATCATGTGTATTGTTCATTGCAGAAGCTCTGAATCAGGGAGAAACGGTGGATCTGGATGCCCTGATGGCCGATCTTTGCTCAATAGAGCGGGAGCTCAGCAGTATCGGTGCAGGAAACAGTAAGCGTCAAATCACAGAATCAAAATCCACTCAGAAATTACCTCCTAGCCGACATTCAACAAAACATGGCACCTTGAAAGGATTGTCTTCTTCATCTAATAGGATTACTAAACCATCACATGCCAACTACTCCCTGGATGACATTACTGCACAGTTAGAACAGGCCTCTTTGAGCATGGATGAGGCTGCTCAGCAGTCTGTACTAGAGGATGCTAAGCCTTCCATAACTAATCAACACAGAAGAACAGCATCCGCGGGCACAGTGAGTGATGCTGAAGTGCGCTCTATTAGTAACTCCTCTCGCTCCAGCATCACTTCTGCAGCTTCCAGCATGGACTCTTTGGATATTGATAAAGTAACACGTCCTCAAGAACTGGAGTTGACACATCAGGGGCAGCCAATTACTGAGGTAGGTAGATGAATTTATTTATTTATTGCTATTTTAGTACTAAAATAGAAAACTTTTTAAATATAGTTTTAAATAACTTTCTTATTTTCTCTTCATTTAAAATTTGCCAAGGATACCTCTGAGCTAAGTTTTAAAATCATTACAAAAGGTGTATTATTACCAACTATGGCAATGTCACAAAGATGATTAAGAGGATATTTAGCTTCTTCATTTTTATTCTTGTGACAATTTTGAAGTGTTTGCATTGATGTTACTTATTTCACATTAATAAAAAAAATTTTGAAATATGGCCCAGCCAGCATAGTTCAGTGGTTGAACTATGAACCAGGTCATGGTTTGATTCCAGGTCAGGGTACATGCCCGGGTTGCAGCCTCAATCCCCAAAGTGGGGCATGCAGGAGGCAGCCAATTAATGGTCTTCTCTCTATCATTAATGTTTCTATCTCTCCCTCCCCCTTCCTCTCTGAAATCAATAAAAATATATTTTAATGGAAATAAAACAAAATCTTGAAATGTGGGGTTTTTTGACATTTGCAAAGTTAGTATGGTTCTTAAGCTGATAATAATTGCTTAATGTGTATTTATTATAAATTAGCAACTTAAGAAATTTTTTAAGACTGATATTCCCATTGTAGTCCTCCAAGATTCTAGTTTTAGAGTTCACTTTATTATGAGTCAGTGTGGTTTACTGGAAAGAGCCATTGGGCTTGGAATCAGAAAACTCTGTTCCAAGTGTTTCCATTGCCACTCATCCAAAAAACCTAAATGAGTTTATCAAACATCTGTGAACATCAATTTCTCATAAGTAAGAGGAAGCTAATAGTACATGGTCTATCTTCTTGTACAGTGGTTCAGAGAGTCAAAAGGATATAATATGTATGAACAGATTTTTAAAGATGAAGTTTTTCTGGATGAGGAGAAAGAATAGATTTGTGATAAAATAAGTTTGGAGAAAACTGAGCTTAGTTTTACTGAAGGTGAATTCTTGTGTTTTTTTTCACCAGGAAGGCAATTTTGTTATCAGGTAGCAAAAAGAAAACCAGCCTTCCATTAACTTTGTATGTACAGTGCCCTCTACAAAAGCTAAAATAATCTATTCATGAATAATCAAAATGTAAACCTTATAAAATATTGTTAAAGGAATTGCACAGAAATGTGAAATTTATACCTATTGACAGTATTGATTTTCCCCCATTGATTTATTAGATTATTTTTCATCATTTGGCAACTCCATTTACCTAGCTTTGTTTTAGGAAGTGTGGAGCACAAAGGAGGTTTGGAGATAAACAAGTTTTATTGTTTCTAAGGAAATGTATCATTTTATCATGGTGGTTTGGAGATAAATGAATTTTATTGCTTCTAAGGAAATATATCAGTTTAAAGAATAAACATTTATTTAAAATGGAACTTAACAAAGTGATATATATTCTGTAGAGAACTTTAAAACTGATTTCTACCTAATGATACCTGGGGATTATATTTAGCACCAGCTATTTATTAATATGTGTCATTTATGTATTTTAAATTTACCTATTGGGAAATGAGCAATATTTTACTGAGGATATGCTTTCTTGGTTTTTCTGTGCTTTATACATTTATATTCCTTCTTTCCAATCTTATCATTTTTAATTGAGGCAAGGTGCATGGAAACAGGTTCATCATTCAGGGGTGTGTGTGTATCCATCTATTATATAACATACCTTCATAAAAGTTCAAACAATAAAAGAGCAAGTGAAGTGAAAAGTCCTCTCCCAGCCAACACTCCACATGGTATCCAGTGGTATTCATGAGCAAGGAAACCAATGTTCAGTGGTATTATGTTTAATGTAAGGCTTTAATACAAGGTTTGGTGAGTAAATGAGGAATAATGCAAGAAATGCTCTTAAAGTCTTTTCTATTCAGCCTGTTCTTTTTGCCTTGTCCAGATGGGTAGAAAAGTAGTTTGCTTCAATATACTTTTTCTGGATGTAGTTTGTTCTGATTCAAGTCAAGAAAACTAAGGGAGTCTATTACCGGGTCCCAAATCCATATATCAGATTATTCCCACACTCATATACAATTAAAACACACACACACACACACACACACACACACACACACACACAAGTATTAGTTTTGTATGTGTGGAGCTTAAAAAGTCAAATGGTTCTATAAGACTTAAAAACAACACTGCTATGTACACACACACACACACTTTTTGCCCTTCAACTCCTGCCTTTTTCCCAGTTGATTATATCTCATACTTATTTCAAACAAAATTGGTATTCTATTAATTTCATCTAAATTTTTTCTCTTTTGGAGTCTTTACGCTAGGATCATTCTTAGGTCTTTTCTCCAAAGCAGATTCTTCCAATCCCTTGCCTGGAGGCCATATGCCTGGCTCCCAGTGCTTTAGCAGCCCATTGGGAAAAGAATGCTTGAGATGTGGGATGGTCCTCAGTGTTCAGTATGTGATTCAGTATGTGATCTTCCATTTAATCCTAGCTCAGAAAGGTTTCTTAACCATAAGTTTATTGACATTTATGGCTAAAAAATTCTTTGTTGTGAGGAGCTATCCTGTGCATTGAAAGATATTGAGCAGCATCCCTGCCATCTACCCATTAGGTGCCAGTAGTACACACACACCCTTCAGTTATGACAACTCGATATGTCTGCAAACATGTTCCCTGTAAGACAGAATTGCTCTCATTTGAGAATCACTGCTTTAAGTTTAGAGTTAAATGCAGATCTGAGTCCTTTTATTCATGGAAGATGACCTTGGGTTTTCCTTCCCCTGAATTCATTTACTAGAAACATAATAAATATAAAATGTTTTCAAGCAATATTGTTTGTTGAAAATTGACCTCTGATTGGTGAGTGCATATGAATCAGGAAGATAGTGAGTGAACTTTAGAAGCTGATGAAAAGTCACAGACCTTGACTTCCTGGTATGCAGTATGTAACTCTTATAAGTTGGCATGAACACATTTCTTGAGGGGCCATGGAACCTAAACACTCATTATTTGTTACTAAGGGCCCAGTGCACAAATTTGTGCACCTTGAACTGTGGTTGTGAGGCTGCAGTGGGCACAGGGGTGGGTCTCAGCCCATCCTCCACTCTCACCCAGCCTTTCTGGTTTCCTCAGCAGCCCCGTTCCCACCACTACTGCTCCCACGTGCTGACAGCGCTAGCACCCTCACACCCGCTAATGGCATGGAGCGATTGGGGCTGATGCCAGAGCAGCACAAGCCTGTGCTGTCAGCAGGTGTGAGCAGTGGCTGCTGCCCCAGTTGCCCCTCAGGAGCAGAGGGGAGGTGAAGAAGCCCTCAGGGGCAATCAGAGCCAGCAACCGCCGCTTGTACCCGCTGACGGTGCTGAGTGATCAGCGCCAGGCGCCAGCGGCGGGTGTGAGCAGCGGCTCTGGCGCCAGCAGCAAGGCCAAGCACAGACCACAGCATGTGGGAGCAAAGAATTTTAGTAACCACAAGAGGCTTATCCCCAGGACAGTGATCAGCGCCCTACCTTGGTCTGGCACCCCTGCTCACCTGCTTCACTATCCTGCTGCAGCTGACATCCACCATGTTCTGTGCTCTGCAGCCTGCTGCTGATGCCCACCATGTCCACACATGCCCCCAGGTCGTCAGCACACATCATAGCCACCCACTGTTCAGCCGTTCAGTCTATTTGCATATTAGGGTTTTATATATATATAGATAATGTACTAGTTCCTGTGGAGCAGGAAGTTTTTCTAGCCATGTGATTTCTGTACTTATCCCACATGATCTCTTTCTCTTAATAATGGTTGGTCCCAAAAAACCGCTGGTAGGCTGTCTAGATATCTTCTGAAGATAATACATCTCATACTAATGCGCTGTCTTTGTCTTCCTGTAGAATTAAGTGAGCCTGGTGCCAAGCTTTGTACATTAGATTCCACATATGAGTGAGATCAGCAGTCAATAACAATCTGAACCAGAGATTGCTGCTGGTTGGTGAATAAAGGAGGGAATCTGAGAATTAACTGCATTCTTAAATGCTTTTAATCAATCCTCCTGCTTTTAGTTCTACCTGCATTCTCTGCTTCTGGAGACTTTTAAGATCACATAATGTAAATTGGGGTGCTCCTCTACTTTTCTCCAGCACTGGCTTAGCAGTCAGCTTTTCTTGGGCCTGCTGAGTTAGTTATCACTCTGCTATCTGCTTTCTAGCTTCTTTTTTCTCTTTCTTTACTTTTGTTGAAATACTGTGCTTCCAGGCACTTCACATATGTTATCTCATTTAAGGCTCCCAATATCCCTTTGGTAGGGGTATTATTCCAAAGAAAAGATTAGTTAACTGAGAAATCTGTATTTGAATTTCAAAACTAAACTTTGGCCTTTCAATTTTTATCAATATTTTAAAAATAAAGAGAAGCTGATTGTTAACAGTAATTATTTCCAGAATGTTAAAGAATGTTTAGCATAAAAGTATTTTTCATGGATAAACATAAAAATGAATTCTAGAATAATTTCAGTCAGTATTTTTTATTTTTTAAATTTATCTTTATTGTTGAAAGTATTATAGATGTCCCTTTTATTTTCCCCATTAACCCTGCCATTCTGCTCCTGCCCCCTCCCTGGATCTTCACCACAATACTGTGTGTGTCTACGGGTTATGCATATAAATTCTTTGGTTAATCTTTTCCCACCCCCACCTCCAGCCCCTCACCTCTGTAATATGTCAGTCTGTTGTATGCTTCAGTGTCTCGGGATCTATTTTGTTTGTCAGTTTATTTTATTAATTAGATCCTGCATGTGAGATGTGTTACTTGTCTTTCTCTGACAGACTTTTACTTAGCATGATATTCTCCAGGTCCTTCCATGCTAGCTCAAAGTGTAAGAGATCCTTCTTTTCCTCAAATGTATAGGCATTTTTATTAAATGAAATATTTTTTGGATACACTGTTATAACTAGTAATATTCAACTTTGTATATTATAGCTTCAGTGCAATTCCTCCACTTCTTTTACTTTTCAGAACTATTTT